ACCTCGGCGAAACGGAAAATCCTCTTTGTTTCATTTTGACCTTTTTAACTTTTTTGTGCACAAATTGAAAATTTGCATAAAAGCAAGTGGACGGAAAAGCACTTACAACTAATCAAAGAACCCAAACATGGTGACTGCAGGTCGGTCGTCTCCTTCAGTAACGAGACGAATGGAAACAGAGGAGCGTGAAGCCCGCCGTCGCTCTTTATCGCAAAGAATGGAACAATGTAAATACAATAACTGTGGGCGATACAATTAAAGCAGAGAACAGCGTCTGAGTGTGGTGGCAGCGGTTGTGTTCTTGGTAATAGTAAAAGGCCACAAACTCCCTTTGCAGAACACAAACCGAGCTTTACCTAACCTCTGACATTCACTGACCCTTCATGTGAGCCGGCGGCCTGAAGCACTTTGTCCAGAATCGCCATCACATTTAAAGGTAAAATCAAAACAAGAAGCAGCTGAATGCTTTCTCAAGACTGCAGCATGTACATCCCAGAGCTTGCGTGCATTCTTGTGTATTTGTGTTGAAAAAAGGGGACTTTTTGCCATCATTGCCTCCGAGTCAGAGACCTCACAACAAAGGTCTCATTCATTTCCTGAGATGTGATGTTCCGCCTCATCATGAGTTGCAGGCTAACAGCAAAGTCACGACCGTTTTTTGGATGGCGAATAAAGCACAGTTTGAAAGACTGGAGGTCACGAGATGCACAATAAAGTTCACAGGACACCAAGTCTGAACTCAGTGACTCATTTTAAAACCATCCTGGAGTGCAGATCCCGTATGAGGATGGAAGGAAAATGGAAAAGCTATTCAGAAGAACTGTCTTGTACTTTGAGTCACAGACTTACCGTACTTACATTGAAGTCACCTTCACCTGAGATATGTGAAATCGTTAGATGTCATTGGCCGGTGCTCGCCAGCACAACTGTTTCTTTCAGTAGCTTCATGGGCGGTTGTGGCCTCTTTGGGGTCCAACACCTGCGAACGTCAGGGTTTAAGTTACAAAAGCATAAGCAGCTGTGCACTTCACGCCCTCATGGACACGTTTCTGAGGGTAAATCTCAGCACAAACTGGCCTCAATAGGAAGACAATCTTAAATCCCTGTGCAGTAAATCTAAAATGATTCAACGTTGCACCACATACAGTAAGTTGAATGATTGGGTATTTGTTTTGTCTAAATTAAAACCTACCTGTTTAGATTTACTATTTTAAAAATTCAACCCCACAGTACAAGCTCAATGCAAATCAATGCACCTTTCATTACTGAGTGTTCTAGATGATGGAGTCAGTCCTGCTGGGCGTGAAGGAGACCAGTGTTGGACAGCTTTCTGCAGTGTTCTTCACAGACATTTCTTTCTGTTGTTTGCTGTAGGGGTTGTGTTGCTCTACATTTCTCTTTAAAGTACCCCAAAGGTGCTCTGCTGGATTCAAGCCAGCTTTAAAAGTTTAAAGACTCTTGTGTGAGTTCGGCAGAGTACTGAGTATTCCTCCTCTGCAGACTTTTGGTGTATCCACAGGCATTTATGGTGCGTCTGTAGATATCTTCTCCCCGACATCTTCTTGCTTTACTGTCAGGACGATGTGTTCACTGTGGTGGTCCTATGTTCACACCAGACATACTGGACCCCATCTGAGCTGAATAAATCTCTCATCTAACAACGTATGGGCTCTCGGTAGTCATCGTGCTTCTTTTCATGTTTTTAGCAAAGCGTGATTTTGTAGTTTTTAGTCAGTCTCGGATCTTTTTGTTTCTTTTAGTCAAGTCTCATATTTAGATTTTTTTCCATGTGCAGCCGTGATGCTGGTAAGCAGACAGACAGCTCTTCAAGAGTTGAGAAATGTTCTGGTGGTCACAGGCCATGCTGTCACATGTCTGTTTACTGTTTTCTGCATATGGTTGATCATAGTTCGTAGACCGTTAGGATGTCAGCACAGGCCTCTGACAAACTGACGGCAGCTTTAAGCGGAGCTCCTGTAGTTTCTGTGATAAGTTAGCAACAAGCTAAGCTAACGCTGTTGACTCTGTGGAGCCGCAGATGTTGGATTTTGTTGGCAAGCTTTCCAACCATTACATCTGCGCCCAACTGAGCTGCCCTACATTAAGCGCTTAGGCCCAGTGGGTGGTCGATCTGAGCCCGGCTTGCCACCTGGCTTGCATTGCACTGGCGGAAACCCTGGTTATGTTTTTGGTTAATCCAGTGTTCCTCCTGTTCGCCTGCACTGAGATGCACTGAGTGAACTTGGTCCATCTGTGATGTTGGTCCACGCTTTCATGTAATCACAACAGGTAGAGATTCCCATTAGAAAGGCTTGTGACACACTCCAGTCAGTGGTAATGTAGACATGTCGTTTCCAGTCAGTGCAAAGTCACAAAATAATCCCCAATTAAATTCATTGACAGCTAATTTAATCGTTGATTTTCCTCATCGACACAAATTATTCGTCGCACCCCGAGTCCACAAACTGATTACAGTCGAGCCGACAGCGTGGTCATTTTGAAGACAGTTCTGTGACTGCAGGCTGCATGTGTTGACTGCACTTCTTAGAAATCTGAAACGGACACTTAGACTCTATTTCCAGAAAAGTATAGTCCTGTTGTCCCCACTTGTGTCCATTTTATTTGTGCTCCGTGGCAACCTTTCTTTCAGGAGGCCAGAGGAGAGAAACTAATGAATGATTTAACTTCATTTGAGGGATCAGCACCCAGCAGCACAACTCCCGTTGGCTCGCTGTCACTTTGAGAAGAATGGAGCTGGGGCTGAAGGGGAGGGTTGGTGTTTTGGATGGTGTTGTGATGGAGAGAAAGAAACAGGAGGAGGGATTTGTGGACCGGATAGCGTGGTGACATCAGCTTTGAAAAATGTGTGTGTGCAAGTAAGTGAGAGTGTGTGTGTGTGAGAGAGAGAGAGAGCTGGAATCAGAGAGGGCGAATGGAAAGAGGTCCCACTCTGAGCTTTTTACTGAGGCCCAAAAACAGCACAAATAATTGCTTTTCCTTGCCACTGGGTAAAATGTGTTGACCTGATGTGCAGTTTGGACGTCCTCCACGTATTTTCCCTCCCAAAGCCCAGATGCAAGCATGTTGTGTCTGACGGTTAGAGCGTCAACCTGGTCAGCCCCGAATGTGCACTATAAGAACAGATCAGCTGTGTCACGAATGGAGAGTCCGACACTTTATTCATCCCCCATGGGGAAATTCAAAGTGTCCAGTAGCTCACACATTATATTCAAGAAAGATTGAAAACAGGAAGCCAATGTACAAAAGAAGGTGCAACAAACATGCAAATTGGGCTGGTTGAAGAAAAAAGGTGCCAAAACAGCTGATATTTACAATACAGGTGCAAAAATGTTGATATTTATAATAAAAAAAAATACGATTAAAAAGTCTGTGCACAGTGTAAAAACACAACAAATAATAAATGTTTTTAGGGCCTAAAATATTAAGTCAGTTACTTTTAAAAAAGCTAAACTCAGAATCTTCTCTCCATACTGCATCTTTGTATGATACACAATATTACACCTGACTTTCCTCACATGCAATATGCTCCTTACTATGTGCATTATATCTCCCTTATGTGCAGTATAATATTGCACCATGTTTTATTTTATTTATCTTATTTATTTTAAATCATACTCCATTATATGGATCTATAGTGTATATATAGTGTGTATAGCTCCGTTGTATTGCATTTCTCAGCTCTTCCTATTGATGGTTTATTGGTTCTCTTTTCCTTCCTGTCATTTTTGTGCTCTTTCCTGTATCTGTCATGCTGCAACAAGTGAGTTTCCCCACTGGTGGTGAACAATAAAGTGCAATCTAATCTAATCTCATCTAATCTAGAAAAAATAAGTTACTTTGACTAAATTCCTGTGGGATGTTTTACATGATTTCGCCGTTGTGCCACTTCAAGAGGCCACAGCAGGTTCAATTCTAACTCAGTTGTGCAAAATTCCTGAGAAAGCTTTGCAGTTAATCATTTATTAGGAAAACCAGTTGACATGCAAAGAATGTTTTACATCAAACTGGGAAACCTGGATGCTTTTATCAGCTCATGAGCTAATGTATATGGAATCACAGGAGTGCCATATTAAAAAATAAATATGTTAAAAAAATAAGGATATAAGTGGGTAAATATAAAGAGGAATAAATAAAAGAATAAAGGGAAGTGACGTCACCTTGGTGCTGAGAGGAACTAAAAATGGAATATGTGGAGGAATTAAGGAGAGGTGTTCAACAAGAACTTTCAACAATTGTGTACTTCCTCTCAGTGCCAAGGTGACGTCACTTCCCTTTAGCCGCGCTAGGAGCTAGCGTCGAGCAGGAATCCTGTGATCAGGTATCGGCTACTCACCTGGACAGAAAGCCCCGCCCAAAGGCTTTTGATTGACAGCTCAGTCCATCAAGTAAAAACAGTGGCAAAATGGAAAAAATCAAAAGCAATGAAAAAGAAAAAGCAATGACAAAACAGGAAAAAAAAATATGAAAAAACAATGACAAAAAAGAAAAAAATCACAAAAAAGAAAAAAATGACAAAAGGAAAAAAACATAACAAAAAGAAAAAAATGATAAAAAGGAAAAAAATGACAAAAAAGAACAAACATGACAAATGAAAATGGAAAAGCAAAGATAAAATTCACCTTTATATTTCCACATTTTATTTTATTTTTTAATTCATTCTTTTATTATTTCTCTTTATATTTACACATGTATTTACTTTTTATTTATTTGTTTTTTAATTTTTTAAAGAAAACAGATTTTTAATTTTTTTTTATTATGGCACTCCTAAGATTCCATACATTCAATACAATCACAATTTGGAGAAATTATCATCGATCCATTCGGTATCTATTTTTGTGACAGAGTGAGACATCCCTGATCAGAGACGATCTCTGGACGAATCAGACAGCGTGCTTAACCGTGACCGAGAGAGAGAGAGAGAGAGAGAGAGAGGGAGGAGGGGGGAGAGAGAGAGAGACAGAGGGGGGAGAGAAAAGGCGTTTCCACGTTTCAGCGGCCGGTTCCAGAGCAGCGGAGAGCGACGCGGCGGACGCACGGAGGAATCACGACCTGCCTTTCTGCTTTATTCTCCCATAACTGTGACTGACAGCTCGTCCGGCGCGCGTCCCCTCCACGGCCGCGGGTTTTCCCACGCTGATGAAACGCGTCCATCACTGAGCCAAAGTGACCCAGCACCAGCCCGACGAGGTGGACTTTTTTTTTTTCCTTTTCCTCCTTCCTGCGCCGTCTCCTCTGTCCAGATCCCCACAGAGCAGATTTCTGCGAGATCCAGAGGAAATTATCTCCCCGCAGACATCCATCTCTCTCCAGTCTGTAGCTGACTCATTTTGCTGCCCGGGGTGAGTACAGCTCTCCTCAACTCTCTCCTCTTCTTCTTAAAAATCTTTAATTTTCTTTTCTTTTTTTTTTTTTTTTTCTGGGCATCTTTGCGTTAATCCCCGGAGTGTGGCTCATTCATGCTGGGAGTCAGCCCGCCTCCCCATTCATGGATCATTTCTCTCCTTGCATACCGTTACATGATGAATGTGAGAGACCACTTCACAGCCTGCCTGTAAAATCTAGTTTCCAGGCTTCAAATTGGGGGGAAAAAAGCTGATGCGTTCACGGCCCCTATGGACATACAAGTTAAATGGGCCAATCAACTCTCTAGAATCGCTTTTAAATGAAGTAAAAATCCAAATAATGTGCTTCAAATGAGGCTCGTGGACGCTTGTCTTGTATCCGTGAGCCCCTCAGAGAGGAGTGAGGCATGTGAAATGAGCAATGCCTTGTTTACTCCACACATCTGAGTCATGAACTTGACTTTTAAGTGGCGAATCGGTGAGTTTTCCGTCCTCGAGAGGGCATTTAACACACCATTGATTAACCTAATTGGATTGGGTTTAGTGCTGCTGCTGCTGCCTGAAATCCCCTCAGCGCCCCCGTACAGGCCGGCTTCACTCATCTACGCTCTCACTAAGTTCTTATAGTTTCTGGGGGTTTTTTTTAAGTGGATGTGAGTTCTTGTGGACGATCTGGAATGTTCTGAGGCGACAGGACGAGCCAGCGGTGACCACCTGTGACCCAGTGTGTGAGCGGATGGGGAAGGGCTGGGCTTTTATGAATGGATGTGTGGGACCAGAACTCCTCTTCCTCCCCAGTAACCGGCCTCGTGGCTGGTTTTTCATCTCCTGATGGTGTCTCGATTGCAAACGCTGAGGAGCCTGTAAGCGCTTATTTGACCAAAGTTAAAGTCCAAAGTTAATATTTTCAGCCTGATGTTGATGTTTTTTGAAAAAAGGTTTCGACTCTTTATTCCAAAACCAACAAATCCTCACATCTGAGAAGCTCATTTAGCGTTTCTGTTTGACGCTCAGTAGTTTCTAGTTTTTGCTCATTTTTCCTCGAGAAAGTTGGATTTATTTTATTTTTTTACTTTACAAAAACTGAAACTCAGCCGGTGCAGCAGTTTTCCAAGTTCTGGGACTTGAAACAAGTTGTGTCTCTACATGCTGTTAATATTTTTAGATTTTGAATTTGTCTGCATACGTCGTCTGTTCGGTGTAAACACAGCCTGCAGTCCAACCCAATTCAGCTACACTTTTCTCTGTTAGCTTCCAGATTGTGTCCTGCAGTGCAGATGTTTTAGTTTGTTTTTTTACAGAATCCAGTCAACTTGTTCGAGCACTTTGTTTTTACATTTAGATGAGATCTGGTGAAGTTTTCCAGCCTCATGTCACCAACGAGTAGCTCAAAAACAGCCACAAAGGTCCAAAGCCGTTGATTCCTTCTGTTTTTATTGTGTTTGAACACAACGCCGACTAGTTTAGGGGTTCAGAGGGTTACAAAGGAAACTGGATTTTAGCTGTCAGACGAGTTGCAAATTAATTTCCTGTTGAGCTCTAATTTTTAGCAATTTGTGCTCCGTGCATGAGTTGAATCTCCGTCCATCGGCTGCATCCAGACCCCTCTGACTCATGTACAGTGCATCAGGAGAGAGTGACGCTTGTGCACCATGACAGCTGTCAGTCGGTTTCCTGTGAGGCTGCATTCCTCTCGTATTATCCCCCAACAGCGTGCATTCTTCCCTTGCAGCGAATACTTTTGCTGCTTGTGTGTCTTTCTGAGGACACGTCTGAAACACGAGGACGTTCTGGGTTCAGGAAAACGCTGTCGTTTCAGCTCGGACGGCTCCTTACATGTACACAAGCTTGTCTGCCTTGACTCAGCTTTTTGGGAGCCGGCCTCCTCTGTGATACGTATCGATCCGTCTTCTTGGACAGAGAGAGAGAAAAAAACTGGGCAGCGCAGCAGAAATGTGCTTCCTCTCTCGGGTTCACTTCCTCTGTGTGTGTGTGTGTGTGTGTGTGTCGGCGGTGTCGGTTGTCCGCCGCCGCCAGGGGAATGTTTGTGGTCGACTGTTTGCAGGCGCTGAGTCAAACACAGTTTTCGGGAAGATCAGTGTTAAACTGGTGGAACTTAAAACAATCACAACATGCCAGCGCCCTGCTTTTTCTTTTCTTTTTCTTTTCTTTTTTTTTTACACTGACTTTCTCCACTTCCATGTTAACAAGCTGTTTGTTGTCACACATTTCAGCAGACAATAGAAAAAAAAAAATCCTCCTGATCACCCTGAACTGGAGCTTCAGAGGAAGGTGTTGTTTTTAAGGTGGAAGTGATGAAGCCCACATATTCACTCCGTCTCACCCATAAATGAAAGGCCGGTGTCGAGTTTGGTTACTTCTGCCACCTCACAAAATGAGGAATCGAAACGTTGCTCCGACCGCAGCAGACTCATCTGATCTGCTTCCTGTCGACCCACTTTTGGTTTCATGTGCTCTGAAACACCAGAGTCCTGATGACGGATGCTCATCATTCATCAGGAATCAGTTCACGACCTCTTTGTTCTGGTTTAAGGCAAAATAATTTTACAGTTTAACCACTGAAACAACACTCAGTGCTGGGAACTCACTTTTTTTTCTTCATGTTTTTAGTGGTCAGAAACATTTACAAAGCGCTTCATTTAGCTTTTATTTGTCATTATTCCTGTTAGTAAGAATGTGGACAATAATAATAATAATAATTATATTTATATTGCACTTTATATTTTCACAATCTCAAAGTGCTACAGGGTCAAACAAAAGCAGTTAAGATTACTAAAGCAGATTATAAAGACAGTCAGAAAAAAGGAGAACCTAATAAAAGATGAAGAAGAAGAAGTTGGCTTCCTGAAAGTTTGTCTGATTTAAATGTGATGAACACCATGCATGCAAGTCCAGTCGTCCTCAGATGTATTCATAGCCTTCCATTAAAGAAGGAAAAAAAAACCCCAGCTGTCTCTAGAATATGTTGAAGTTGACAAAAGTAATTATAAAAAATTAATGAAAATCATGACATTGCTTTTGAATTGTGGTTCAACAGAAATACATTTAAAAAAAAAAAAAAAAAAAAAAAATATATATATATATATATATATATATATATATTTTAATGTATTTCTGTTCAACCACAATTCAAAAACAATGCCTTATTTCACTAAATTGTAATTTAGCAAATTTTTATTTATTATAACTTTTTTCAGTTTCTAGTTATTTGAGTGACTTTTGTGATTTTTTCCTTTTCTTTAATGGAAAATAAATGTGAGGACGACTGTGTCTGTGTTGAAGTAAATCAGTGACTAAATGCATGAATCATCAATAACAAGCTGTTTTTGTGCCTCATCTGTGATCACGATGAAAATACAGAAAACTAAAAAGGCATGACAACATAGCGCACATATGTACCTGGAAAAGATGAATCATAAACTTATTTTCTCTGAGTTTGACTTCTGCAGTTAAACAAAGCCCAAAAGTTGCTCTTTTGCCTCCAGAGTTCAGCTTCTTGCTGCGTTTATCACATCTGTCCACTGCTCTGCTCGTTTCAGAACTGATTGACTGATTTAATGATTACTTTTTGGGTCCGGCTCTGAGCCACGAAGCAGAACCGTCCATACGAGCCCAGATTCACATCCTCCTGACTTTAACTTAAACCCATTTTTGTGACTTCACTCTAACTTTCAGTGATGTGCTGTTTCGTAGTAAATTCAAGTTTTAATTGCTTTTATTATTTTCATCGTGTTCATCGCTACTGACTTGGCTTTAATGTGAGAACCGGTGAAGTTTGCGTTGCGTCCCCTTTAACAGCTAGCTGTTATTTTGCAGAATTTCTCTGTTTTGTGAAATTACAGATAACATTTTGTAAAATCGTGGTGGAAAAAAAAAAAGAATGACTTCACACGTTAACCGTAAAAAAAACAAAAGGTCAAAACTGTAAATAACATCCACCTTAAAAGTCTAAAGTTTTCCAAATGGTCATTTTCACAGTGTTTAACTTTAAAACTCTACTTTTTTTTTGATTCTACGAAATCTGCTAACATTATATTACTTTACAGATATTTGGAAAAACAAATGTAAATATAATAGAATTGTTGTCGTACAGATTTCTTGTGTAGTTCAGTTACACACAGTATTTAGTCAAACTTAAAGGAAAATATTTATTTACATGTTGACTGTTTAATAAAAAAAGACAAAACTGTTTGTAGCGTCAGCATCCAATATTTAGAAAACCTGCAAACAACATGTACAACAAGTGGCCTCAGATTGTTTTTGGTTTCTGTCACAGATGAGTAGTTCAAGGACCATCGGAAATCTGACAACGCAATCATTCTTTAAAGCTTTTACGTGCCCTGTACAATTAATATTTACAGCTTTCAAACTCATAAAACCAGAATGCATTTAAGACATGGTAGTAAAATAAAATACTCATAATAAAGAACATTAATTGTGATTCATAAAAAGTAAAAGAAAGATTCTATATGTGTTATTGTTCATTTGGTTTTCCAGACTTGACTGCTGATTATCTAAATTCAGATCTACAGTGTGAGCTTTTACAGTTGCCATTTAACTAAGTCATGCAAATAAAGGGTGTGGTTGATACCAAACGAGCTCGTTCCCTGATGTTTCAGAGGATTTGACGTCTCTGTTGCACCACAATGCTTCATTTATATGACTGAAAAATGTCAGCTCTTGTGGTTTGGATGTTGTTCTTGGCCATATTGCAGTTTTAATGTTATTCAGCCTGTGTAGTTACCGTAACCGAAGACTTTGAAGACCTTCTTGAGAAAAACAAAATGCTCTCAAAGTGAAGTCGGTTGTATCGTCCATCAGACAGGATGTGGGTCCATTCATTTAGGAGCATAAGTTCACTGCCAGCAGCAGCGTCTGATATTTAATAAATAAGGTATCAGGCTGACCTGATGCATGTCAACACAGCTCACTGGGTAACTGAGACCCGCTGAAAACCAACGCGTGTGGTCTTAAAC